CAGTCGGAAAGCGCACGTTAAATCTCCTATATCAGTCAGTCAGTTACGTGGATAACGGAAAATTTTGTTTTAGTGATAGCACATTTTTAATTCAATCTAATATACTTTATACTTTCTTTGATTGATTATATGACTGCGGTCGTAGATCCGGATGTATCTAAATATGCTCAGTAAATACACGGGATTTATTGTTATACTATTAGGATTAATAGATACAATTGAGTATTTATACCCTTGACCATAAAGTTAGTCACTACTTTTATTTTCACATGTTCGATTTGTATGATTTGGGTTATGATTAAATTGACAAAATAAGAAACCATTCCGTGTATATGTGTATTATATATTGTACCCCAATACGTAATTAAATTGTGTATAAATAAGGACACTAGGTTAATTACTGTAATTGATTATTTGATAAACATATTCACCTTTAGTTGCGTAATATGTCACAGAGGTAAAGCTTATTCGTAACAACTAATTGTCCCATTTATTTGGCTTCTATATTTTATATGAAACAAATGCTATAACATGTGGTGATAAACTTCATTGGCAATAGACGTAGCATATAATTGTCCGCATGAACAGTCTACTCTGTTCCAGATATGTTTATTCATTTTGTCAGCGTTTAAATCGTTGCAGTCCTGGCTCAATGATTCATTTGACGAAATCTTGTTCCGTTTTGAGGTGAGGTGAGCTGAAATGGGGTTTAACGTCGTGCCAAGATTATTGCACTTATACAGCGACGTGCATGCACATGTATGTGTGTGTGTGTGTGTGTGTGTGTGTGTGTGTGTGTGTGTGTGTGTGTGTGTGTGTGTGTGTGTGTGAGTGTGTGTGTTGCTGCTTGTACTAGGCCGGACTGATGCCGATTTATAGTGCTAGATGCGAGATGCGAGATGCCATGCCGCAGTTTCCCTGTTTTGAATTACCGTCAGATAGTTCTAGACCAATTATAACATTTCCAGCCCTATGTGTTGCGCATTATTCCGAGATAATTCGAAGTTCATTTTCTTGTACGAACACTTATCAAAATTCATTTATACCTAGTATTTTTATGTACATATGTATATTAGTTCAAATCATAATAATGAGGCCCTCTATTCTCGAAACGGTCTTTGTTCTACGACAACCGTAAGTCGGTATTGGAAAACAAAATATTTGTTTAATTGTTCAAAGTTCATAGTTAATGTCATATGATAATAGACAAGGAAGATAAGAAATTAAATATAAAGAGTAGCCACTTTAAATGACAGAAATTCTTTCAGTTAAATTTGCTCATGATTTGGTCTTTTCGTGGTAAATAGTACCAAAATACTCTTAATTATTTACTTTTATGTCATTACTAATCTCACATTAGGTCAAAAGTTGTACAACGTTTAACAGATATGATTATGACATGTTGTATCCAAACATATCCAAACAAATCCAAACAAAATCAAAGCTTGGAAATATGACCTTGACAAATTTTCGAATGGTCATATTTCCATTTGGAATGGTGGTATTTCCAAGTTTTGGATTGTTTGGAATGGATGATATTTTGTCCAGTGTTTTCACATTGTATTGGTCGACGCATGTGAACCTGTAATGCGTAGTCCAGAAAGTCGATTCATGCTGTTATTATACTTATATGACAGGGCTCTACATCGACAGGTGCTCACGATCCCCGCATACAAGCTGCGACTCTAACGGCATACAACATTTATACATCTTTAGACAGCGTCCAGTCAACACTCACGCAGTGACAAGAAGAGTCGACCTAAGGCCGTGTGTTTTAACTTTTCAGTTAAGGCCTCAAGAATATTGGACAGCGTTCCGCCAGTTGACTTTTTGAAACAAGAAAGGAGCCAATGAATTCGATTGGGACCAGCGACACATGAACTTTCGTGAATGGTGGTGCCATTTTCGTCCATGAGCAGTGACATTTAACATTTATAAATCACTCTTAATTAGTTATATATTGTACTTGAATACTATATCGTGATATTTATGCTTTGTGGTTATGAGAAGTTACAAAGGATCATTTCTCATATTCTTTAGCATGTAAATACTTTTTGATTGTTAACGTATTCACTGTTTTCTGGATATTTATATAATTTTGAAATTGGTTACAATCAAATATGTAGAATGATCGATCCTGTTTTACTTCTATTGTATTTTACATCTCAGACCTAAACTCATGCTCATGTCATCCCAGCTGTGGGCAGCTCTTGTCAACAGGCGGAGGATGTTATAAGGTTCAAACGCGTCTCAAAAACATTAGAAAATGGTAACAAATTAAACTGTTATAGCTGCAATGATGAATTGCATTAGATATACAAAGTTTGTGACAGAACTTTTAGATCGAAAGGAATTAATAGAGAAGAGACATTTCACAGTTCTCACAAGAGTATTCTGGCCATTTCATATTTATCATTGGATTGGTTCCATGTTATCGTTCATTAGTTAAATCAAACAAGCAGAGAGGTAAGATACTTTTCATTTATAGCATCCAGAGTGAGTCACAAAATCAATAGAGAGATGATCAATCTGGCACATAGGCTTCTGTATTTTCTGATTACGACACACATGAGTTCATGGTCAGATCTAACTTTTAACGAATCAAAATGAGGTATTGTGACATGTGACAAAGACAGGCCAGGCCCGAGCACTATAAAATGATAGCTTCAACATTAGAAGAGAGCTCGCTTTGCAATCGATCGAGTCGAATCCCCATCGATCTAAGTTCTCCCCAGTTAGTGACGAGCCTGGCCGGTCTGATCCTGTATTGATAGATGGGCTGAGAGTCAGTAAAACTAATGTGAGTATAAAGCTGATGTTGCGTTTCTTAATTCTGCGAGTATAAATGCTGATGGAGACAATTCGGAGTAAGCGTCGTTAGACCAATCACTTCTTGACTGAGCTGGGCCGATGCTCACAAAGCGAGTTTTCTAGTCATGGCTTAACTGACCATGATGACCAAGAACGGCAATACTTTCAGTAACTGTAGTAGCGTCACACTGGACATCCGAAAGCAGTTACGACAATACTTATTTATGGTTTTGGCAGATTTCGTCCTCCGATAACATACTGACCCTATATGAGGCATTATTTGTTATGACGTTTGATCAAACAATTAATGTAGTGATGCTTACATACAATGGTTATGTAATTTAATGCCTTATGAGTGGGAACAACTACAAACTTTTCATGTAGGGCAGCCCGACTTTCTTTGACAGCTGCCTGGGACAGAATGGGTTTGTGTACTCTACCAATGACAACACCACGCACCTAAATAATCCAGTCTGAAAGACATTCAACAGGTCCCTCTTCTGATTTGGCCCATTTTGGGCATATTCTTCGAAAGTATCCATAATGATTTTTAAGTTGTGATCCCAATTGGTAGGAGGTCGCTCATGGTACTTTGGTCCATATGTGAATAAGGATGTTATTGTCAACAATAGAGAAGTCACCTGTGATTATATGACCTGCAGGTTAAAGCAGTATGATGAATCTTGGCAGCCACAAGTAGTGGAATTTACATGATGAGCTTCCAAGTCCATGTTCTGCAACACGCCTTTCCTTTAATTGAACAACCTGGATGAAATTGTTGTTGGTTCCTGAAATTTAAATATTGTAGGACATTTAGTGGTTGGTTTGTTGTTTAACGCCGCACTCAGCAATATTCCAGCTATATAACGGCGATCTGTAAATAATCTAGTCTGGACCAGACAATCCAGTGATTAATATCATGAGCATCGACCCATGCCATTGGGATCGATGACATGCATCAACCAGATCAGCGAGGCTCCCCACCTGATCCTGTTAGTCGCCTCTTACGACAAGCATAGTCGCCTTTTAGCATGGGTTGCTGAAGGCCTATTCTACCCCGGATCTTCACGGGTCGTAGGACATTTTGTGTAACTGATCTTTGTCTAAGAATGTTGCTTCGATTTTAGGCATCAATTCCCTTGTTTCCAATTTTTAGATATGTCTTTGTCTTTGATTTAGTGGAGTTTGTCCAAGCTTTTTAAAACAATATCAAGAAACTATACTCTCTAGTCGATGCTGTTGCTGGAGTCGTGAAATTTCTTTCAATGACACAGAGTATATATAGTTTTGTTCTTACTTTGCGCAGTTTCAATTGTCCCTGAATGAGAGGCAACAAATCTTCAAAATGAACGGCATTATTTGGCATTCGCACTTTCCTTTGACCATGGCTGCGCGACGTCTTTGGGATGCCGGAAAGAGATTCAATACATTGACATTAGCAAATCATTTTTTAAAAAAACGTCCTTTATTTTGCCATTACAACCATATGGCATTGCTGTATACAGTCGAATCCAATGTTTCTCTGAACATTCTATGAGGTCGACTGTATGTGAGGCTATTATCTCCAATATGCTAACTTTCATGCAAAGGATTTTGAAAATTGAAATTTGTAGACACAATTGGAAATGTCATGTACTACCCTGATGGTAGTCTTCACTTATACCAGAACGCAACACAAGCGTATTGATTAGAATACAACTTCTTTCACGTCTGGTACATCGGACCGCCACTGCACAACTGCCCACACTCGTGCGTTAACCATGACATCATATCTATGACATCATCATATATTGGCGGGAATATAGCGCATACAAGATAGCGCCAATGACTAGCATGTAAATATACAACACTCCTTCCCTTATTTACGTTTAAGTCCTAAGACTATTAACTAATAACTGATATGGCCATTAATGTAGCTTTTTAACTTTAGTGTCCATAATAGCTACCAATAAGCCTGGCCCTTTATCTGAAGTCAGTCCTTTCAAGAAATAACTAGAGGAGGATACTTATATAAGCTGACCATTGAAGTCTTTCAAATAATTGATCTAGTTTTGCTGCACACTGTAATTTACGAATTAACACGGACAGTTAACACGGACAGTCACTTTTAGACTTCAGCAATCTTGAACACAGTTCTGTAACAGTCTTGAAACTTCAATATAACACGGTTCTGTAACAGTCTTGAAACTTCAATATAACACCGTTCTGCAACAGTCACAGATCCAGTCTTTTAACTGGACATCGGTTTTGTTCAGGGTCTCTGTGTAAATGCCATATTTGGTGTCACTGCACTTGGGTGTCCTAACTTTATGACGCAGTTTTCTTGGTGATTTACCTCCAACAGGTTCTGTCACAGTCTCTGGAACAGGTGTGGCCTGCACAGGTAACTCTGCTGACAATGCATATGGTACTTCACTAAAATCTGTCATGATTGTCTCTGCTAATTCACTGGACTTCTCAACCCGAACATGTGGAATGTTGTCTTGCGCTGGTACTAAATGATCAATGTGAACATAACGAGTCTTTGTTCCAACCCTTACCATGTATGCGAGGGGGCCTAACCTTCTGACCACTCTACCTGGGATCCACTTCTCTTCCTTTCCATTCCCAGTGTTTCTCACTCGACATGGTTGATTTACAGCTAGTTCACGCACAGAATTAGTTTTATCATGTGCTATCTTCTGTTTCTGTTGTTCTTGCTGTACTTTCTTGTTTATGTCCGGTTTGAGTAAAGATAATATAATTCTTAATTTCCTCCCAAGGAACAACTCAGCTGGGCTGACTCCAGTAACAGAATGCGGCGTTGCCCTATAGGTGAGTAAGAAACTTGCTAACTTTTGCTTGACTGAGAAGTTCTCTGAACCTTTTCTCTTTGCCAACTTGTGTTTCTTTAGCGCTGTTTTCACCAACTGAACTGCTCTCTGTGCTGCTCCATTGGAAGATGGATGATACGGAGGTGACAATGTTTGCGTAATGCCATTCTTTTGGAGGAATTCCTTGAATTCCGCAGAAGTAAACTGTGGGCCATTGTCCGATACCATCTCTTCAGGTAACCCATATGAGGCCAATAGGTTTCTCGTAACTTCTATGGTCTTCATAGAGGTAGTGGTTGACATCGGAACTGCCTCATCCATTTTGACCTACTGTCAATAACAATGAGATATCTGTCTCCACTGTACTCAGCAAAATCTATGTGTATTCTCTCCCAAACTCTGCTTGGAAATACCCATGATGAAGTGGTAAGACTGGTGGATCTCTTTGGAATGTCTGGCAAATATCACATTTCTTAACCATTTCTTCTATTTGTTGATCTAAGCAAGGATACCACAAGTAATTTCTAGCTTCAGCTTTCATTTCAACCATACCCTGATGCTGGCTATGTATTTCTCCTAGAACCTATTCCTATACTTTTGTGGAATCACTACTCTAATCCCCCATAATAGACAACCTTGATCAACTGAGAGTTCATCTTTGTGACGGAAGTAAGGAATGAGTTCTTCTTTAGTCACATAGCTTGGCCATCCCTCAGCAGTGTACAGCCATGCTCTTGATAGTACTAGTACTGGATCTTTTCTGGTTGCTTCAGCTATTTCTTTTGCTGATACCGGCAGGTCATCAACATGTGAAAAGTAGTTAATTCTTGCCTCTTTTGTATTTTCCCATGGTAGGCGTGTTAATGAGTCTGCATTAGCATGATCTAGTGACTTCCTGTGCCGGACGTCGTAGTCATGAGCCATCAATATCAATGCTCAATGTTGCAAGCGAGCTGCTGCCAATAATGGTATTCCTGTTTGGGGGCCAAACAGGGTTGTCAAAGGCTTATGATCGGTGTGAACCTTCTTCCATATATATATTTCTCGAACTTCTTCACCCCATATATGATGGAAAGGGCCTCCTTTTCTATCCGTGCATAGTTCTTCTCCGACACTGTAAGTGTTCTTGATGCAAAAGCTACCGGCCTCTCTGTTCCATCATCCATAATATGGGACAGGAGGCAACCAATACCATACTGTGAAGCATCACATGCCAGTGTAAGGGATCTCTTTGTGTCATAATGGACTAGGACTGCATCACTTGATAAGAGCATCTTGCATTCTCTAAATGCTGTTTCTTCCACTTTCGTCCACTTCCATTTGTTTTCTTTCTTGAGCAGAGAATAGAGGGGTGTCAGAACTGTTGATATGTTTGGTAGGAATCTTCCGTAAAAGTTGACCATACCCAGAAATGACCTAAGCTCAGTTGCATTCTCTGGTGAAGGTGCTTTCTCAATGGCATAGACTTTGTCTTGCAATGGATGGATTCCCTGGCCATCTATCCGGTGACCCAACTACACAACACTGTCAGTCATGAACTTGCTTTTTGGCAACTTGACCTTGACCCCATAGTGCTCAAGTCGTTGCAGAACTTCATCAAGAACCACCTTGTGTTCTTCTTCAGTAGCTGTACCAACAAAAATATCGTCTTTCAATTTCATCTAAACCTTGTATGATCTGGTCCATAATTGCTTGAAACAATGCTGGTGCTGTTGAGATACCAAATGACAAGCGCTGGTATTCATATAGACCCTCTTGAGTGTTGATTACAAGTAGGGATTTGGACTCTGTAGTTAACTCTTCTTGTTGATAAGCATTAGCCAAATCTATCTTCGTAAATACTTTAGCACCTGCTAGTTTAGCAAAAAGGTCTTCTGCTGTGGCCATGGGGTAGATATTTTCTTCCAAACTTTGATTCACAGTCACTTTGTAATCCCAACAAATCCTAATGGATTTGTCCCCTTTTGGTACTACCACTTTTGGAGATGCACACTCAGATTTATTAATCTTCTTCATTATGCCTTCTTTCTCTAACCTATCTAGCTCTTCTTCTACTGTCTCCCTCATAGCATATGGTACTGGTCTAGTATTATAAAACTTTGGTACCGTTCCTGGTTTAACTCTGATATCAGCCTTGAACTCTTTCATTAACCCTTTTCCATTAACCACTGATGGATACTTTGTGATAATATCTTCCATGATATCTGGTTTTTATTAATTGACTTTCAAAGAAAATACTTTCAGCCAGTTTAACTTGAACTGTTTCAGCCAATTCCTTCCAAATAGCGGGACCTTATCCCCCTTAGCAACTATCACTGGCAGCTCTGCTATCTGGTCTTCATATTCTACCGTAGCCATAAACTCCCCAATTACCGGAATTCGATGATCAGAATAACCATTTAGCCTTGACTTGCAATCATACAATGGAATATGAGAGAATTTCTCCTTGTACATCTTTTCCCCTATGATTGTGACCCCAGCTACAGTATCTAAACAGAAGCTAACTGGAATCCCTGTCATTTTAATGGGAACTTCATAACCCCCATCATCTGCATTCTCACGTGATGAAGCAAACACTGAATATAAGGTTTCTCTACGAACAAAGTCATCTTCATCATCACTCCCATCATCATCTTCTTCAATACAATGTACTGATTTGTTCTGCTTGCCCCTTTTTCGCTTAAATTGGAATTTGCCCTTTGACTTCTTTAAGCTTTGATCCTGGTTCTTATATTTACATGCCCTAACCAAATGTCCCTTTTTGTGACAGTAATTACACTCTTTCTCTTTGTGATAACAGTCTGCAGGATTGTTATTGCCATTACATCGAAAACAGGATTGCCTATTGGTTTTGGTGAATTTTCTTCCATCCCTATTGACATGGTTAACCTGGTGGGAATTCTGAGGCTTGAATGATTGGGAATCTTTATCTGCAAGTTCCATTCCTAAAGCTAATTCACAGGGCCTATCCCATGTAAGCTGTCTTTCTGTAAGTGATTTCTTCCGAATAGCCATGCTTCTGATTCCATCCACACAACGATCTCTTAGCCTTTCTTCCAATGTTGACTCATATTCACAATATTTGCTGAGACGTTTCAGAGCTATCATGTAATCTGATATGGACTCATTTTCTGCCTGTTTCCTCTCGCTAAATGCCTGTCTTTCCCAAATAACATTTCTGATAGGCTGATAATATCTAGTGAATTCTGAGAGAAGATCGTCCAAACTGACATCGGCAGTATCTTCCGGGGCCCAAAGTGAAACCAATAATTCAAACGCTGGTGGACCTATTGTAGCCAGAAATACATTTGCTCGATCTTCGTTTCTTATTTTGTTAGCCCTCTTCCAAATTTCTAGCCTTTTTCTATAACTACACCAATCTTCATTGCCGGGAACAAATTCAGTCATTGAACCGATGGGCGCCGCCATCTTGGATCTCACGAGATCTCGTTAAATCTCTATCTATTTATAAACTAACGTATCAATTCTCATAAATAGTTCTAGATTGCGATCCCTGGCCAGTAAATGGTAATAGCTTGTACAGTACCCTATTTCAGAATATCCTTACACATAATCCATAACACAACCATGAATTCCTTTAGAATCCTTGACGGTGAATTTCCACTTGAATCCACTGTCACTGAATCACGCACGTGTCTCGCGATATTCAAAATTCACACTTGTTGAACTAAATGTCCAAATATCCTTTAGACAGTCTTTTGGTCTTCTTTTCCAGAAATTCCTGTAGAATTTTCACACTAACGTTGACACCGCTGAAGTGTTCACACTCGTGCACCTGTAGAACGCGAAGCCTTTAGCTGGTGTGATCACAGGCGATCTTGTCAGTTATTTGCAGAGGAAAACAGGATTGCCTATGGGTTTTGGTGAATTTTCTTCCTCCCTATTGACATGGTTAACCTGGTGGGAATTCTGAGGCTTGAATGATTGGGAATCTTTATCTGCAAGTTCCATTCCTAAAGCTAATTCACAGGCCCTATCCAATGTAAGCTGTCTTTCTGTAAGTAATTTTTTCTGAATAGCCACGCTTCTGGTTCCACCCACAAAACGATCTCTTAGCCTTTCTTCCAATGTTGACTCAAATTCACAATATTTGCTGAGACGTTTCAGAGCTAGCATGTAATCTGATATGGACTCATTTTCTGCCTGTTTCCTCTCGCTAAATGCCTGTCTTTCCCAAATAACATTTCTGATAGGCTGTAGAACGCGAAGCCTTTAGCTGGTGTGATCACAGGCGATCTTGTCAGTTATTTGCAGCGATCGATCCCATCCTCGTCGCCAATTGTCATGTACTACCCTGATGGTAGTCTTTACTTATACCAGAACGCAACACAAGCATATTGATTAGAACACAACTTCATTCACGTCTGGTACATCGGACCGCCACTGCGCAACTGCCAACACTATCGCGTTAACCATGACGTCATATCTATGACATCATCATATATTGGCGGGAATATAGCGCATACAAGATAGCGCCAATGACTAGCATGTAAATATACCACAGGAAACATTTCTGTTGACGCCTGATCTATACTGGCCGACTCATGTCGACTATTTCTGTTGTGTCTCTCCAATGTAAATAAATCCACAAAGTGTATGAATTCAGGATCAGTTATTAAAATAGGACAAGTTTTGTACTATTTATGCCACATGAAGCCATACTACAAGGAGATGGGTTTTAAAGAAATGTCCTCCAATTTGAATGAAGATTTCTTAATGATTTTAAAAAAATTAATCTTTGTTTTTTAAATAGAAGTTGCCTTCATGTTGAACATGTGTCGATTTTATGATGTCCCGAAGGACCAACCGAAGACTGCAATCTAAACCATATGTTGCAGCCAACCCCTAACCCTTCCTGACCCGTGAAGATTCCGGGGTAGAATAGGTCTTCAGCAACCCATACTTGCCGTAAAAAGGCGACTATGCTTGTCGTAAAAGGCGACTAACGGGATCGGGTGGTCAGGCTCGCTGACTTGGTTGATGCATGTCAACGATCACAATTGCGCGGATCGATGCTCATAATGTCAATCACTGGATTATCTTGTCCAGACTCGATTATTTACAGACCGCCGTTATATGGCTGGAATATTGCTGAGTGCGGCGTTAAACAACAAACCAACAAACCAAGCTTTTGTTTTCCTAACTTTTTCAAGTCTTACGCTTTTAAGTTTTTTGTTTGTTTGTTTGTTGTTTAACGCCGCACTCAGCAATGTCAAACCTGTTGGCATGGAAACGGGAAAATCTTTTTTGGTTAAAAATCCTAAATAGCAAAGTGCACCACTCCAGCCTCTGGTTAATACATGTACCAAGTTTGGATAAAAATTTACTCACAGTTTTCAAGTTGTGCTACAGAATCGACACCTACCCCCAACCTTTTGAGACTTAGTCCAAATTGTTTCAATAGAAATCAAGAATTTCAAAATAAAAATTACAAAATAGCAAAATGCACCTATTCAGCATGTGACTGATACATCTTTCACGTTTCGATCAAATATACTGAATTCTGCCCCGGGAACGAACCCCATCCCCAGTGGAACTTCTTTCCATAAAAAAAAATAAAAATAAAAATTCGAAAAATCCCAAAATATCAAAAGGCACCACTTCAGTATGTGACTGATAATTTTGCCAAGTTTCGATCAAATACACTGAATGGTTATCGAGTTCTGAAATGATTACGGACGGACAGACGGACTGGCTGATCGCTGTATACATTATATGCCGGGGGGGATAAAAAGAATCAAGATCAAGTATTCCAATACATTTGATGTTTCGACTCTGTACACCCCTGTATCCCACCCGAAAAACTTCGGAGAAACTACATTCCTTAATTCTTTGGGCTTTTGTTACTAAACGTGGTGACCATAGTTACATCTCTATCGTCCGAGGTTCAGGACAAATGTTCCAAAAAGAAAGCACATGTTATCTGAAGTTTACTGACAAAACAAGATGTGAAATGCTGGACAACCCGTGACAATCAGTGGTGGCCCAGTTGTCTAAGGCGCCGTGATTCGCTGTGCAGAGTTGCCCCCCTTGGGCACGCCCGTAACCTATGATTGTGGGTTTGAATCCCGGTTCGCCTCGATAATGATTCTAGGTTTGTCAGCACCATACCCGTGCTCGTGTGTTTCATCGAAGTAGTAAACGTCTGAGACCTGTATCACTTCGGGCTTTCTTCCCACATTAAGCTGACACGCCGCAATATAACTGGAATATTGTTAAAAGCGGCGTTAAACCCCACTCACTCACATGATGTCTACATTACACAATGCATGCTCTTTCTATGAAGATTTCAGTGAGTGAGTTTGATTTTACGCCGCTTTTAGCAATATTCAAGCAATATCACGACGGAGGACACAAGCAATGGGCTTCACACCAAAGAGCGCCATACAACTCTTCCTCAAAAGTTGTTTGTTGTTTGTTTATCAAGGATAAGACATGTAGGGGATATTTCAATATTTAACGTGCAGCAGGGCATGGAGTCATCCCACAGATGACATCCTTGTCAGCTTGCTGACGGGGTTAACCTCTTTGGACAAGGCGTCTGACCTCGGATCAGAAGGTCCGTGGTTCGAATCCCATCACGGGACTCGTAAATTTTATGACCGCTACATTGGCGCCCAACGTGGGGCTGAGCACGTTCATATTAGATTTGAGCAAAGTAAGCCTCAGTGCCCTACTATGCGGCCCGGGACGTGCCTTCTGTTGACGGGGAAATATGTAGCAGGGCGTGGAGTCATCCCACAGATGACATCCTTACCTTGTCAGCTTGCCTGACGGGGTTAACCTCTTTGGTCATGTGGACGAGGCGTCCGACCTCTGACCAGAAGGTCCGTGGTTCGAATCCCATCACGGGACTCGGAAATTTTATGGCCGCTATTTTGACTTGTACCACATGTTCCCGTGCTTTTTCAGACTTTTGCATGGGTTTGGGACGGTTGGCAGTGATGGAGCAGGATACGCTCGCCATTCTGCGAACACCTGTTATCATCATTATTTGATAGAATTTCATAAACACATGCCTATAATCGGAATCGTACAATTACTTGTGGTTCTGGACAATTTTCTTTTTGCAGGGTTTACTTAACCTTAGTCTGAATGCGTTATTTCTTAATGCTGCATGAGGAAGTTTGCAGCTATTTGCAGCCAAAAGAAAGGAAGTTGAAATGCCACGAGGGAATACATTGACGAACAAAACGTCCAAAAATGTCTTCAACAAGACAGTGTTATCAATGTCCCAACTGTGTAATCAGTATATTGATTTGAACAAACTACCCATGAAGATCCGGTTTGGAATAGATCTTTAGCAATGCACGCTTGCCGGATGAGGCGACTATGTTTGTCATTAGAGGCAACTAACGGGATCAGGTGGTCAGGCTCGCTGATTTGCATGCATTTCAAATTGTGTAGATCGATGCTCATGTCAGTCACTGGATTTTCTGATCCAGACTCGGTTACTTACAGACCGCCGGCATATAGCTGGAGTATATTCTGAGTGCGTCGATAAACAAAATAAAACAAAAAATGGTCACAAGTACACTGTCAGTGTTAAATACAAAAAAAATGAATCGTTTAACGACTTTTAGAAAGGCAAATGTTCTTGTTAACTCTTCTGTTTTTCATACCCCTTGAAACCCGTGAAGATGCGGGGTAAAATAGGTCTTCAGCAACCCATGCTTTCCGTAAAAGGCGACTAACGGGATCGGGTGGTCAGGCTCGTTGACTTGGTGGATACATGTCATCATATCCGAATTGCATGGATCGATGCTCATGATGTCAATCATTGGATTGTCTGGTCCAGACTTAATTATTTACAGACCGCCGTCATACCTCGAATATTGCTGAGTGCGGCGTTAACCTAAAACCATACCCCTTCTTCTAAGACATGCTTCATGCCAGGCTTAAGTTTCCCTCTCATCATGTTCTTAGGCCGTTATGTAACTGAAATACTGTTCCAAGTGGCGTATCTCATACATTGAACTTCAATATGTAATGTAACGTAAAGGTCTTGATATTGTATCAGTAGTTCATATTTTTCAAAATTATTGCGCAAACCAATGTTGCATTGTGCACCTAGTTTATTTCCAGGAAAACGAGAGGAGGTATGAGAAGTTGATTAGGAACACGAATGTCAAAAGCCAAAACAACAATTAACTACCTTAATAATATTGAGCGATTGTTTACATAACATTGATCAAAGCTACTACGAACAATACTTATAGCTGTCGAGACATGTCATTGCCGTTTGGCTTTTAAAAGAGATGTACAGCCCGTGCAGATCACGTCAGCAGCCGCAGCCACGCTTTCTTTGAATGATGAAGATAAAAATGATGCAACATCGCTGACACTCATCAGGCCCTGCTTGATCTTTTCACCGATCTGTACACAACAAAAGAAACAAAACACTTATTAACATGTGAATAATTGTCGGTATTCAAACTAGAGACAAAACGTTTTGAATCGTGTTGGGAGGCTCAATATGTGTGACGTTCTCGAAATCCTGTCGGGGAATGGTATGTAACACGATTGTGGATCACTTTGCCAGCAATGATAGCTAACTATAGAGTGTAGTTACAGTGACCAGACTATAAACCAATTTGTGTTAAATGTTCTATACATTAATGTATTTCATGACATACAACATCAGCAGTGAGGATATTCTTGTATCGAGGTTAAATCTACATGTTACCTAGAGCTAGTTTGTTAAGCTTCATTTTCCATGACAACCTGAACACTTTGGTGTGGGCGGAATATTGAGTGAACCGATATAGATTCAGTCTTAATATTTTGAGTGTATAGTCGATGTGAAATAAGGATACAACGACAGTGGCTTTAGTAATGCGCTGTACAACGTGTTTATCCCGGTATTTCCTAAAAACGTTTTTAGTTTTACAATTAACAATTATTTTTCTATTTATTATATTTTGATGACGGATTCCAAACATGTATTTGCTCTATTTCATCGACCAATGTAAGTTTCAATTATTCAACAGGGAGCAAGGGTGGGTGGGGGAAGATCACCTTGCAACAATGGGCCAGGCAATTTCTTCTCTTCTTTCAACAGCCTGAAGCATAATTATATTTTTTCTGTTTTCGGACCCCCTCCCTTATTCACATGCTGTACAATATGAAACTGTTGTCTCCAGTTTTTACTTCTGTATTCTCTATACCTCAATAGTCTCATTGATGTTATAGCAACAACGTCACATCACTCGCCTGTCTGCAGCTTGCTATGTCATATCTACACCAGGTTGCAAAATGTTCGCAGTTACTAGTGAATGGATCATATCCTTTTCTCCCCACTTTGTCGATAGCTCGCTTCACAATCTGGGACGGTGACATGGGTCTGAAAACAAAAGAATATCTACATCAGTTCAGCTATTTTTGAGTGGATTTTTCCCTTTGGTTTGTCAAATTCGGCCAAGTTAGATCTTCCGAGAGACTGACGGAAATGCTTATAACTTCGTTATTTGTGCAGCTAGAAGCATGAAAATGTATGTTTTAAAGTTAATAAAGATATCACCTAAATGATGAAGTTATGTCTTTAAACTCGAAGTGCTTATAACCTAATGCCAGGGTTGCTAAAGGCATATAGCTACAAGTAGGTTGTGTTGGAAAACATTGTAAGAAATCAGAGAGGAATACACATAGATATTAGTGATATCAGCTGTCACCTGATTTGGCCAAGTAAAAAAAATCCATGTGATACTTGGCTCGCTATGGTTGGAGATTTAGGCCTTGAAGAAAAAGTGGCCTGTTCCGGTTTTCTTCCATCTTGTGTGTACACATTTCTGTTCAGAAGGATATGGGCATATGTTTCCATCACTAATGTGGGGTGGAGCTAGTGCTGCCAAAGCCCAGTGGTTAAATCATTAGCTCGGACGACTTTTCTTTAATTCCCCATGGTGTTAAGGGACTTAATATTTTACTACGTTTCTCAAATTGAGGACCAATTACTTCTTAAGGCTTACATAAACTAATAGGTATTTTAAGGTTCGATTTGCCTTCATGTTTATGCAATCAATTTGAGTAATTAAAACACCATTCCATCCGGTCAAATCACTATACGTTTTACATTTTAGTACCTATAATGTGACACCTGTCTGACTCATCTGATTTAGGATTAGTACTGGAGAAGACGATCATACCGTATTTTCCAATCCAAGCTGTTATCTATGTAGAAACTGCATTGCCCAATCACCTCGATGAGTCTTTGTTCAAGAACTCCTTGATCCTGTGTCTGGTGTACCACCTTTCCCTCACCTGAAATTATCCAAACGTCTTTTACTCATCCCTTGATACACATGAAATTGGAAAGATGCTCAGCAAAAGCGCACTTTGAGAAAGTTCTTTTCCAAATATGTTTTGTCATAGCCGTGCTCGGGATTTAAACAAAGTGGTAAACGCCCTGTGATCTCCATCACTTCGGGCTTTTCCTCCTACATCAAAGTGACACGCCGTGATATAACTGGAATACTATTCAAAGCCCAACTCCCTCCCCCCTCACACCAAATATGTATTACCATAATCGTGTTAGGCCACCTTGTCTGTCTGTTGTTGTGCCTCAATCACCAAACCAGTGGCTGGTATTAAAAGTAACGCCCCATACAGTCGGACTGACAAGCATTCAAACAAGTCAAAGAATCTGACTACAGTAAAATCTTATCCAAATGAATTAACATTAAGTAAGCGGACGAGTTTAGATCACATCAGTAACTTGTCTGCCTCATGGTGAGAACATTATGGGTAACCAACAAAAGATGAGGTCATACTGATATCAGAAGATCATTATGTAATTATTGTATGTGAAATACATGTATATATGGATAATTAGGCACACGGTTATAAGCAGACGTCTGATATGTATTTAAGTCTGCTTAGATAGCCTCGACCTTAGTAGGGAAAGGAAACTATACAAAATAATGGAAGGTGTGAATCATGAATGGAAAATGATGGTCATAACTTAAATGTTTAACAGCTGTGTGATATATGACGAATGTGAACGCTTTGGGTCTGGGGAATTGTCTGACATTGTCTGGATACGCTCTGGATGAGGGCCTCTCTCTCTCTCTCTCTCTCTCTCTCTCTCTCTCTCTCTCTCTCTCTCTCTCTCTCTCTCTCTCTCTCTCTCTCTCTCTCTCTCTCAGTCTATGGGCTCTTCACCCATCACTCTGTCAGAATCTCTGGCTTCCTGTTAAGGTTGCTAATGACACACCGTGCACAAGCTGTAATTAGGAAGTGATTTTCTCAAGACCTGTCTCACGTGTGTAGATTCGTCACTTCACGTCGGACCCGTGAAGATCCGGGATATAATAGGTCTTCAGCAGCCCATGCTTGCCATAAAAGGTGAATATGCTTGTCGTAAGAGGCGACTAACGGGATCGGGTGGTCAGGCTCGCTGACTTGGTTGATGCATGTCATCGATCCCAATAGTGTGGATCGATGCTCATGATATCAATCACTGGATTGTTTGGTCCAGACTCGATTATTTACAGACCGCCGTCATATAGCTGGAATATTGCTGAGTGCGGCGTTAAACAATAAGCCAACCAACCAAACCAACTTTACGTCGTGTGTCGTCAACGATGCAGCTGCCTGAGGCCAGAACGCCACAAGCATTCGTGAAGTTTGTTTAGATATCCTACATTTACTTTGGGCATTTGGGGGACATCCCTAAACTCACCGTTTATGCTTGACGATGATCCGAATCTATCCCTTAACCCTTACAGCTTCTTGTTTTTATTTTACGTCAACCACAATCAAGTCTCATTTTCACATCATTGGTTATGCAACAGTATGTTGACAGAGGGTAGAGATGCATCTTTACCCCAAATATCGTATGCTATGGTGAGCTGTTTTAGAGTAGAAGATGACCCCACGACCAGTGGCAGATTTGGCTATAATCTTCATCTTCCCAAGGAAGGGTTGTAGTATGCCCTACATCTGTTTACGTGGCTGAGCGGAAGGTTACCAGAGCAGTGCAGATATAATGTCTATGTGACTTTGGTGAGTCTTCCCGAGACTGCAGTTTATTTCATGATATCAATGTGACAATCATAAATGATTACATCATCAATAACGTATAGAAACTTTTAAATATCTGCTTGCGAGGTTGTATGCGTAGTTTTAATCTCAGACTAGAATCCTTCCTAGTTTCACTGTCAGGAAATACCAACTTACACGTTTCTAGAAACAATTCCCTGTTAAAATAAAGAATCAAAACCTAATTTATTATGTTCTTTTTAGTTTGTTTGTTGTTTAACGCCGCACTCTGCAGTATGATGGTGGTTTGTTATATAATCTAGTATGGGCCAGACAATCCAGTGATGCATATAATAAGCATCGATCTAAATTGGGCGGCAAAAGAAAGTATACGTCGAGTTCCATGATCGATAAAAAAATAACAAGAAGAGGTTATGTTGTGAATTATAATATAATCTAGGGAGGGGTAACAAATGATTGATCAACCACAGTTTGAATGAAATTGAGCAATCACAGGGAATGTAAGCTCAAGGTAAACAATGGTGGGGTAAGAAATTTCATTTTTATAAGTTTTTTAAAATGTCACCATAAAATTGTCAGACACACTACAAGTTCATTGTCGACATAGTTGCCTTCAATAGCGTGTATGACCTCCAGCTGCCTCAATGCATGCTGTGATACGCCGCCTCATCGATGACGTCAGTCTTCTGATGACGTGGACTGGAATCCGTTGCCATTCGTCTCTCAGGGCCTGCTGCAATTCTTGTCTGTTGACGGGAAGCTGATGGCGTGCTCTAATCTGCCTGTGAAGATGGTCCCACAGATGTTCAATAGGATTCATATCGGGTGAGTGGGCAGGCCAGGGCAAAACGTCAACGTTCTGCTGGTTTAGAAAGTTCCGAATCAGTCTTGCTGTATGGGGCCTGGCATTGTCGTGTTGAAACAATGTCCCCTGCTGTTAGTTTTGTAAGAACGGAAGCACAACTGGCTGCAACACTTGGTCTCTGTACTGCACAGCGTTCAGGTTTCCCTGTAACAAATCTGTTTCGCAGGTGAATGAGCCGTATCTGACCGTCTTCCAGTGGTGTTGTCACTCGGGGTCGTCCGGTTCTAGGCCTGTCCTGTGTCCTCCCTGTCTGCCTGCACAATTGAATCATCCTGGCTACTGTCAATGGTGTACAACCAAACCTTCTGGCAATTTGGACCTGTGTTGCCCCCATTTCAGCCATGCCGATGGCTCTCTCTCTGTCTCTGCTCCTGTGACAGTCGTGGCGTTTCTTTTGTGTGCTTTCATCACGTGTGGTTATACCCTGCAGACGAACGCATTTATACAGCTAACATGCACGTACAGTTTATGCCACAGGCGGGAAACCTGTTTCACCATCTTTTTGTCAACGCACGAGCGCCGTCAAAGGTGGCGCGTTCGGGTGAGGTGTTTTTTGGTACCTGTTCCTGGGCAGTCATATTCCCAATACCCACTTTCCACTAATTATCGCTGTTTTTAGGAAAATTACAAATTGCTAACCTATACTTTCTTTTGCCGCTTAGTTTATATGTTCCAACGATACGATGGCATGCATCAACCAAGTCACCGAAAGTGACCACCCGATTCCGTTAGACACTCATTTCAATTGCTGGTAAATGTGCACAATTAAAGACAGTGGAAGGAACTACGTACCAATGTATACAGCATAATGGAAAAAGCCTCCTCTTTGGAACTTCAAGATGTAGCCTTTCTCGATATCATCTTGATTTGAATCACGACAAACAACCTGCAAGACAAAGGATCAGCAAAATATCAGGAATATGCAACAGGAACAGGAACAAACCAACCTTGGTGCTTCAATGCCTTACTATCTGTTTCTGATTGCAAACATTGGCAGACCGCCTCCGTGGTCTTGTGGTAGAACGTCCGCCGGGGAGCGGAAGGTCCGCGGCTTGATCCCCAGCAGCGTCATACCAAAAGATGGTACTTGTTGTTACCCTGTCTGGCCCTCGGCATTGAAGGGCTAAAAGAAGGACTGATAGCCTCGAAATCAGTATACTGTATCTGAGTGGGGTATTCATGTTAAACTGCGGCATGGTATCTCAGTGGGCTAGAACGATAAATCGGCATCTGTCCGAACTAGCACATACGCACGTCGCTATATAAGTGCAATAATCTTGGACGTTAAACCCCATTTCACCTCACCTCACCTCACCTCACCTCACCTCACCTTACCTCACAACCATTGGCGCCACAGTTTGTTTGTGTTTATTGATTGAAATCTGGATCAGACAAACAACAAACCAAGTGATTGATGTTATGAACAACGTCCCACGCCGTCAGGGTACGATGGCATGCAATCAGTCAAAGTCACCTAGCCTGGCCATCCAATCCATTTACAGTGCCCAGTTGTTGTTTTTTCAGACATGAACCATAATCTATAGATTTTGTATCGGTTTGTGGTGAAAATGTTGAATCATGTCTCACTAAATAATGACAAATGTCTCCAATGTTGAATATTTCATCGATCATTTTGATTGATAAGAACTTACCAATTTCAAAATGCATGAGAGTAGTTATTTTTATTAATTAAAGAAGAATGTTTGCAAATACTTGAAAAAAGAACAGACCCCTTACCGTCATTTGAAGAATTCCCCAGAAAAAATACCCCATGCATTTCCAGTATCGTAGCATTATCTTTTTTGTTGAAATGCATCTGGTCTCTATTTAACATAACGAGGAACCTGAAGCCATTTCTAATGTAAAGTCCATTACGTCCTGTCTAATCGACCACCTGGTCTTGTGGTTAGAGGGTCTACAAGGACAGTAATCTAAAGTGTGAAAAAACAACAACATATGGTTTTTCTTTCTCTTTTGGCATGTCTTTTAGAAAAGTATCATTAAAACCAATTAACTATACCAATAGTGTATACTTACATAGTAAATAACATAATATTTAAATAACAAAACTTTTATTTATTGAAATATGCTTGTACATGGCTAATGTTTTTGTTCGCTAGTGACAATTAAAAGTGGTGTACTAATCGTATGTTGCACAACACGGTCACACCTTGCCCTGCACCCCCTCTCAAACTTACAACTACATCTCAAAAGCTCTTGGCATGACGTTGAAGCTTGTGGTAGTGTAGTAATCAAAGGCTCATAGCCATGTGCTATTGATATTTCCCATCCTCTCTCAGTTGATGTGAGAAAGGTCTCTTTCGGCCTTCAGACTTCGTCCCTAAATGTGTCCAGTATGAAATGCAGCTATTTTGACATGTTGGTACAAAGCAGCTGATTTAGGAGGAATGGAATCAATTGATCTACCTTTCTTAGTGAATTAGTCTTTGTGCGCCTCATTAAATTGTGTACATATACTGACCCAATCATACATTAAGACCATAAAACACTGAATGACTGGCATCATGTTCATCACATCCTGTTTGGCTAAGGATGACAAGTTTCACTGACCTACAGTATAATCCTGTCGAGACAGTAAACAAACATTCTTCACATGTAGGCTATGACCTTCATGATGACACAGGTCCTGAAAATCACAAATCAGTGATGCAAAACGATGTCCCAGGGTTATATAAAGGAGATATGTATGATGTGATATCCCTAACTTTTAGCCTAACCACTACATGCATGTCACAAGTGTCTGCAGTAAAATGCATCCTAGTGAAAATGACAAACTTACTTTATGAACTGCTTTCACTGTGACCCTTACGTTAATTGTACAGAGGTAATTCACGCCCTCACACACAAACGCGCGCGCGCGCACACGCACACGCACACACACACACACACACACACCAAGGATGATATGTACGAAATTCCATTAACATACAATAGAAGTAGTGCTATTGCGACGTCACAATACTTTTGACCCACTACTAAAAATAGACAGGAGGTCATTGTGATTTTCAAAGCATTTTTTAAACTGGCAAATATGATTATGTCAAACCATTTGAAGATTTATTTACAAAAACGTGTTCTTTGTTTACAAATGAGGAAAGGGTCAGTTGGAAAAGATGTCAGATAATTTTCTGAATAATTAACGAAGGACATGGATATCCCGTGTCATTCATACATAATTGTTATATTATGGCATCTGTTTATTATCATCAGGATTAAGAGCATATTTTTTTACTGATATGGAAAATCTGGTATGAAGTTAAAATCTTCAAACTAAGAAAATACACTATAATTCATTAACAGGCAAAGTGGTGCAGAACGTAACATGCCAACTATCTTCAGAATGCGACCTTTGTTTATGTGCAATGAAGCAATTAGTGATTCAACCGTTGGTGAAGGTACAACAACGGATAGTAATGAATCGCATATAAGGAAGTGATTCCTACGATCGTGCCATAACTCAATTCGATGTTACCATCGGAGGTCGAGCCAGGGTGACTCACTCTGACCTGTTTGAAAAGTAGTTCATTAATCTGCATTAATTCTTTCAGGTGAATATACTCGTTTTGATCCTGTCCGAACATCTTAGTCAAAGCTCTGCCATGCTAAATCAGATCGAGTTTTGAATCAGTAAGGTAAGACCATGAAAGGATTGGCTTGGAACCCAAGGCGGAAGAGGATCTTGGTGACGGGACCTGCAGCAGCTGCACTTTCTTCCACTAATGGTGGAGTTTCCCTCCAACCCGAGAGAGGTAAAGGAGGCACCTTGGTCAGGGATGAGTGGCAGCGACCTAAGTAGCGACGGTGATCAGGCGTGGGGTCGGACTGGGGCCACTTGACTGGTGTTGAGGTTTCATCCAGGCACTGGTCTCTGGTGCAACTCAGACAATATGACAGACCTGACTTTCAGTAGCACGATGACCCTCAATCCTCTCAATAAGCATTCGTCCATCAAACTCGGTTCAGTGCGAACTCTGCTCATAGAGGTCATCTAACATGTCACGCTGTGGACAACTTAGGATCACAAATTCCCGAACAATAGATAATGTTCGGCCCTTGCCAGTCTGGATACTAATGACTGCAGATTTCAGAGGTCAGGTGTCCAATTCCTGAAGCACTAAGACTGTCACCTCTACCATATGCTTCCCTGGGTCAGGCGCTAGCGTCTGTATCGGTTTGATGTGTACCCTTGTGAACAATTGTATAATCATATGTAGTCAACAACACTGACCATCCCTGAACTATGGGCCCCTGGATTATTCTCGTTGAGTAATGACACCAACGGCATGTGATCTGTCACGATCTAGAAATGACGTCCATAAACAAACTTATGAAAGTTTTGCAGTCCAAAGATCAAACTTAGTCCTTCACCATCAATCTGAGAGTAATAGATAGTTCAGACCGGAAGCCGTTTAACCAATCAGAGCGCTGCTCTCCTTCACTGCCGATTATCTTTTATCGCATTAAGGCGACTTTTCAATTTTAGTTATTCCCATGAAGGCGAATCGTTTTGTATCTTGAAGGTTCTTGTTGTTTTGCTTGTGTTTATTTAAGGGATTATGATTGAGGGGCAGTGTTAGCTGGCGTTAGCTGCGTGTCCAAAACCTGAACCATGTTCATTTAGAACTTCTTACTAAACTTCCTTCACCTAACCTAAATCTGTGTAGTACATCTTTTAAACGTATATGTATTTTAATTTATTGTAATACGGCAGTGTATTTTATTGTTAAACAATGATTGTAACTGTTTTACATTGTTTCTGTTGAGATTTAGTAGAAGCATTATGTTTGGACAGAGATTAGATGTCAGGAATGTAGGATTGTTTAATGTAAGCCGTTCTGAGGAAGTTACTATATTTAGATGCTGGTATAATGTGTCAATATCCGGAATTCAGTGGACTGTGATAGTGTGTTATAGAAACATGTGGAATATTCTATGTTTTGAGGGCACTGTGTGGATATTTCCAGAAGCTAGTTCGTCTGTATGTAAGGGGACAAAAGCGTACCTCTCGTATATTTCACACATTTCATTACATCAAGACCAGCTTTCCTGTGAAAATCACTCATCAACCCGGATTCCCTGCCTGGACCTTTCTCGAAAGCTTTACCACTGTCGCCACAGGGTGAATATACTATTATCACTGACTCTTGCTGTCATTGAATATTGTGCCACCACTCTATTGTGTACTGCCATTGTAACTGTAGTTATTCGTATTTGTAAAGATAGTTAATTTGTAATACAATTGTTAATTGTTAATTGTTGTATTGTCATTTGTTGGTTGTTTGTTGGTGTCACAACACACAGATTTCTAAGTTAAAATATTGTGTCAATTTGGGAATCGATACATTACAATATAATTTGCTTAAGTTGTTTCTGACGCCCAGAGGTTGAAGTTATTTGTATGATTGTGGTTTCATGTTTTCAATTGGCAAGATAAAGACAAGAGAGGTAGATTGTATTGGAGATGTGGAATGCACTACGAAGATTGAAACAGAGCCGTGAGAATATCGCAATATATAAGAATTCGAACTAACTGACTTTTTTTCATGCAACATTTATAGATAATGGCCTTTGTGTTCGCGAAATATTACACGGTTTGGCGATCAGACCAATTCAACAATTCCGCCATTTTAACCTCCCAGCAGCCAAAACTAGCAGCAGTATCCATCCCAGGCGTGGCTTCGTGACGCCCATCGGAACTGTGCATTCTGCTCAGTTCCTGTCAGCATCAGTGAAGCAAAACTTACAGGTATGTCCGAACCATCAGGCAGTTTGTGAGCCAACACAACACCAACTCCGTAAGGAAATGTGTCACGATTCGGTAAAATTGGCTTGGAGCTGTCAAAATGAATCAAGACATCCAAAGAC